ATAATAATAATAATAATAATTTATTAAACTTGTATGCTGGCCAACTCTCAATGACTCTGGGTGGCTCACAACAATTAAAAAATACAATAAAATAAATAAAAAATAAAAAATAAAAATAAAAGATGGCTTAAAAATTACTTTTAAGGACAAAGCAAACACATTAAACCCTCATTAGGTGACTGTCATGTTACAAATCCTTCTCTGCATTAACTCAAGTCTACTTATTCTCTTCATGCATTAGTAAATATTGTATCCAATATTATGGAGGATGATATCTAGCCTTTCCTACCAGAGATGATGACCACAAGCTAATTAAGTTTTTTTTTTCCTGAAAGCTAGAGCAGTAACTGTTATTGTATTTACATTATTCTTTATCAACCTGAATATTCTGGAAGAGTCAGAATTACTCATAGGGAACTTGTAATGAATTTCAGAAACCCAACTGTTAATTCCACAAAACTTGCTCAGAGAACATCAATGAGCAAAGCAACAATCATTGGTAGGAACATGGAAAACAAACATATGCCTCTAATGCATAAAGAGAATTATAACAAATTCTACAATGCTGAAGACATAGTTTGGACATGTAACAATTATGAGATAAATTACGTTTACTTCCAATTCTTTCTTAATCTAAATTCTGCTGTTTAGCCTGCTCTTCCCAATGTCATACTATTTTAATGTCACTGGGAAGTAGAAGAACGGCTTTCTTATTGATTGAGTTAAAAATGGCTTTCTTATTGATTGATTGGTTAGTTGGTATATTAAGAGCCTTCTGACCCTGCACTGCACTTCTGGTTCACTATTTTTATTTTTTTAATCCTATAGAGAAATATGTTACTCCTATCTGGCAGATGCTGATAATGAAAGGGTGTTCACTTCTGGCTCCTAAAAGCAGTAAGATGAGCTATCATAAGTTGACAGCTGTCTATCACAGAATGGGCTGGGACTTTAATAGCAGTCAATGAATACATTAATTTTCATTAACAGCAGCTCTTATGGGATTTTTTCCTGACAAGCTTTTGCAGTGGTAACATATAAGATACTGTAGCACGAACAGCAGCAGCAACAACAAAAATCCAGAAATAAAAAACCACAAGATCAGCTTCAACTAATTATATATTTGGGTACCAAGATTTCAAATGAAGAGTCACATTCAGTGCTAGCAAGCAAACAAATCTATGTGAAAAGGGGACTAATTGAAAACTGAAGACTCTTTGGATCCCTCCTCTTCCTGCATACCCATTCCAGAATTATGACAGCTACAGGGATTTGAAGTCACATATGCCTTAGTGCGAGAATATTATCATGGTATTAGCTAACATTCAGGTTTTTCGTCTGGTCTCCTTTTGGTTACAGTAAACGGAATAATGCTTGCACTACTGAATAGTTGAGTGCTGGAGACAACAGCATCAGTAATCTCCCTGTTCACACCCAACAACCTTTCCAGAGTTTCTGCAACCATGTGAACATTTCTTCAAAAGGGTACTCAGTGTACAAGAAAAGTGATACAGAAGAATGGCCAGCCACATTGACAATAGCCTAATTCACAAGTTGCATTTGTCCACATGACTGTCTGCTAAGGAAAGAATGGGCTGTTTGCATGTTCAAAGGGGATTGGCTTGAGTTGGCCTGAGGCTAGCATCCTCTCATGTTAATTAAGTTAATAGGGGAGGGACTATGTCAGAGGAGGGTGGGAACAGAAGGCATGCTCTATCCTCCCTCCCTCCAGAACTTCTCCCCCCACAAGCCTGAATAGCACTGCAAAGAGCATTTTGCTCTAAAAATACAACAGCCACATTGTATTCTGCCTCCCACTTTTTATACTCTAGTTCTAAGACTCATTAACTGTGTATTTTCCAAAGAATGAACAAACATGTACATGTGTGTGCGCACACACGCACACCACCTACCAGAAACTCCTGGTGGGGTTTTAATAAATTTCCCATTAAAATGAGCAATCACTGCTTCACATTTTTCTGTTGATTCCATCCTGTGTAAAAATATAGAAAGTGTATTATTAATGTACATTACTTTCAGTTCTTGTACTGTATGATTACACTGTTCTGGTGAAACTGTTTGATTCACAGACAAAGAATAAAATCAAAGATTAGCACTACTGGTCAGGCTTAACATTTCTGTGCTCCCTTTTCCCTTTAAATATGGAGATTTCCTCCCTTGAGCTACCTTTAATTTTCATGCAAACTGGAAGTGAATGAGAGAACACAGAAGCCCAAGGCTCATTTTCACAGCACCTAACCTAGTTTCCTGACAGTTGGTGTAGTTAATACAGAGTGAGAAGGATTCACTTTAGGGCAGCCTCCTAGGTTCCTACAACTGCATGTAATTGAATGCTTCAGCTTTACTTTCTCTCTTGCTCAGTTCTAGGAGAAGTTTTCATGCCCTCTTCTTTAATGCCCTAAAGGTTTAACTCTCCCTGTTTTGCCAGGCTATGTAGTCCAGCGGGCTGGCCCCTCCTCTTAAAAAGCCCTACACCCAGAGCTTTCATATTTATGGGTGCATAAAGCAGGCTGTCCCAATCTCAAAGCTGGAAAAGATTAATTTTTGATCATGCTTTTGAACTTTGGTGTTGGAGAAGGTTCCTGAGAATATCATGAACAGCCCAAAAAACAAACAAATGGATCATAAGACAAATCAATTCAGAATTCTTTCTTGAGGCACAAATGACCAAGCTTAAATGATCATAATTTGGACCTAACCGGGCCTTTCAGGTGTCCTAACAAAATACACATTCCAGCAATATGGACATTTTAAGCTGGATCTTCATATAATGTGTCCAAAATATGACCATTTGAGCCTGGGTCATTCGTGCTTGAGTGAGAACTCTGGATTGATTTGTTCCGTGACACATTTAAAAGCAGTCTTACGTACTATGGCAAATGTGGGGTATTTATGATTCTCCAGAAGTTGCTGAATGAAACCTCCCAGGAATAGCTGAGCAAAGGCAGGATGTAAATGGAAATGTAGACTGATTTGTTCTGTGAGTCATTTGTTTGTTCTTTTGGTTATCCATGGTATTCTTAAGAGTCTTCTCCAAGTCTTTCTCTAACACCAAAAGCATCAATACATTTTTGTTCTGCTTGTTTAAAGTCAAATATTTGTAATACTTCTGAGTTTTTCTCTACATAAGAACCCACTTAACTGACTATAATATTCACTAACAAAAGCATGCAAATGGAACTGCCTGTCAATTAACTATTTGTCTGATGGCAATCTAAATCGCTCTTATGTAAGTGATGGCCTACCTCTCAATTGCAACATCAATAAAACTTAAACTGAACCTTGCAAAAGCAAATAAAAATGAGGGACAACGTTGTTTCCTAGGAGCCAAGACTCATTTCATTTAGATTCAAATAATATATGATTTAGTCAACAGATATACATACTTCATATAAATACCTCATCTCTTATAATCTTATTCTTCAAATGGTTGAATATTATTTGACCAATTAATTGACCCAGTACTGTTTGTTTAAATAATCACCTTTGAATCAAATTCATTTTTGTAGCAAGGCCAGACATGTTTTTTGCAGCTCAGCATCTCTTTGCCCTTTTACTAGAAAAAATGTGATGTAATACTATTTAAGAAACACAATCCAACAGAAGAGAGTATTTGTAGCTCAGGGTTGAACTGTGGAGTCCTTGGTGCTCTCTTAGCTTGGTTGTCTGCTTGCAGATGTTTCATTACCCAACCAGTCATGTTGCCTAGTCAGGTAATGAAACATCTGCAAGCAAACAACAAAGCTCAGTGAGCATCAAGGACTCCACAAGAAATACAATTTCAAAAATTACATGAATGACAACCTACCTTGCAAAGCCAACTCCACGACTTGTGCCATTGGAATCACGAAGTATTCTTGTTGAGATAACTTGTCCAAAGGGTTTTAGCATGTTCTCAAGCTCTTGCTCATCCATTGAAAGTGGCAAATTGGAAATATACAAATTAGTTGGATCCTGCTCCTGTTGCTGAAAAGCAATTGAAATTATTTTATTAGTTGTGACATTTATGAGCTATATAGAATATAAGATAGCTTCTAGGGGACTTAATCTGTTACCAAAGTCTCCAGAATTAAGTGATTCTAATAATAATATAGGCTACTGCCAACAAACTTTTAATTCTGAAGTCATCAAACAGCAGTCTCCCAAACTTCAATGGGAGATCAATGAAACTTCTCTAGAGAAATGGTTGTGTCCAAAACCTATGATTACATCTATTCATTGCTACCAGCATTCACAGCATGAAGCTCTTCCTTCTGGTAATAATGTAAGCCATTATTATCTCTACAATTACATTCAAATGAAAAAGAAAATCCCAAATAAAAGGAGAAGCATTTGCTGCACAATGCCACAGAAATCAAAGATGGAAGGCTGTGCTGCTTATTCCCCCCCCCCAACACCAAATTATCTCAATTATAACTAGTTGATTAGGCTGATTCACATGAAAAACAAAAGACAAAAGTTGCCATGTATATGGTCTGCCTCCTCTTTTTTATATTATAAAAATGACTTTGAGGAAGCATCCATTACAATGTTGCAGAGGGTCAAAATTCATGCCTTGTGTTCAAAGACTCTGTTAGGCAAGATGAAGATTCTTCTACTCATAGATTTTATTAATGGCACTGTCAACGTCCCCATGAAAGCCACTCTTGGAGTCCCTAAAACGTGTGGGTAGCCGCAGGCATAAAGGGAACACACAGAATTTCAATGGAATATTTAGATTCAAACTTGTTCATAAACGCTATGCTTACATTTTCTTTTTTCTTAGTTCAGTCTCCGCCCAGACACACACACACTTTTCTAAATTCCTAAAGACAAAGCATATGCGGGTTTCACTTATGGAAACTACCCTTGCCAGATTTTTTTTAAACCTCATTTTTCTCTTGCTCTCTGTGCTGCAGTCCATGACTAGAGAGCATTTTTACAGCCTAGGAGGTTATAAAGGGAAAAGCACAAGTGGGGAAATCAGCTTTTGCTACACACACACACACACACACAAATACACTTTTTTCTAGCTCTATAAAAATATTAAATCAACTAATTCACATATGTAATAACAAAGCAAAACTAATTTAAGATCACAGTTTATGTGCCATAAATTCTGAATATTCATTCAGGAAAGACTTAAGATATGAACATATTAAAGATAAGACAACTAAATAAAATGTGGTTAGAAAAATATTCAGATTTGCATAAGTTTTTGTCTCTGCAATTTGATGAAGGTATTGCTCAGTTTAAAAAAAAACAGTAAAAGTTACTGCACTTTTAGGTATCTAGCAGTATAAGGCATTGGCACCTTTTAGGTGCCTCTTCTACTACTAATATAAAAGGAAGGAAGAAGGTAATACATAAAACTTTTAGTCTGATGAATTTACTTGTTTTTCCCCAAATACAGCAAAATAAAATACCATTACCACAGAAACAGTAACAGCAAAGTTAACTGTTTAATCATATGGTTATTGCCTCCATGCGCATGTTTCTCTTTAGAAACCTACATGAAGCATAAAGTTGAAACAACTATGCTCCAAGATGCTAGAGAATACAGATTTCACTCCTGAATCACAGCCTCTATTATTAAAAACTCTTTCTCCTTCACACACACACCCTCCCTATTCTTTTTAGAAACACATTTTCCATACTATGGCCTTGTAACTTGAGGACTAGGAACTTCTGTGTATAAATTTAAACCTTCTGTTTATTTGATTTGGACTGTATTTAACCTAAGAAAAATAACAGGTACACAAAATACTAAAAAGGGTTTAGTCAGCTGAGGTCAGGATTGTGATATTTACAGCAGAATTCAGGCCTGAAATAAATATTCTGAGGAATGAACAGCAACTATTATGAATATAGTTCCCTACTTCTTGATATGTAGACACATGTATCTCATGTTTAGAGGCCAGATTATTTGTCAAGGAACATGCATCATTCTTCCTTTTAGGTGGCACTTGCCTTATGGAATTATCTTTTAACAATAATGAGCCACAGCTGACAGGCAAAACTTATTTTTGAATATCTGTCCAGATTTAGACAGTTTGATGGGTTGCTCCTTTTTATTGATATTTTAAAAGCAGATCTTTAAACAATTGTTTGATCTGATTTGCTTTACCTTTATTAATTGTCTTCAATCCTTTTTGATGTGTTAAAAAACTATTATTACCTATATAAAGACTTCTTGATCATTCAAAAAAGATTTAACAAGGATTAGTACAAATATTAGTAACCACTATCATTTGGATTAATTGGCCATGCTGTCTAAAGCAATGCAAACCTTATTTACTTACTTACTTATTTTATTAAACAAACAAACAAACAAACAAATAAATAAATATTTGGCTTTCTATGTGCTGAATCAGGTGCCCCATTTACTAGCTTGGCTGCTACATTCTGTACCATCTGCAGCTTCCAGACCAAGCACAAGGGTGGGCGGATCTGGAGTGCATTACAGTGATCTAAACAAGTGGTTCTCAACCTCAGCAACTTTATGATGTGTGGACCTCAACTCCCAGAATTCCCCAGCCAGTATGCCGGTTGGGGAATTCTGGGAGTTGAAGTCCACCCATCTTAAAGTTGCTGAGGTTGAGAAAGAGTGATCTAAACAGCAGCTAGGATGTTTCTGTCCAAGAAAGGGCATAGTTGGTATAACAACTGAAACTGGCAATAGATTCTCCTAGCCACAGAGGTCTCTTAGGCCTCCAATGACAATGATAGGTCTAAGCATATATACTGTACCTGTTTTCCTTTCCTGAGAGTGCAACCTCACTAAGATTCCCCAATTCTCAAATCAGGGAACCACCCATCCACAAAATCTCTGTTTCATCAGGATTCAGTCTCAGTTTACTGGCCCTCAACTACTTCATTGCTGAGTCCAGGCTCTGGTTCAGAGCATATCCAGTCTCTCTTGATTCAGATGTTAGAGAAGTACAGCTAAGTCTCACATCCATATTGATGATACTCAGCTCTCCAACCCCCTAATGAACCCTCCCCCACCCAAGATTTCATATAGATGTTAAATAGCACCAGGGATAGAACAGCGTGCAGAGGCACCCTTATAAAAGCTGCCAGAGTGCAGAGGCAGAGTCACCCCATGCTACACTTTGGGACTGTCATTGCAAGTAGCTATGGGACCCCTGGAATGGTCTCTCCATTCCCAGAGGCCCCCCAGCGGAACTTTGGGAGATCAAGCAGGATCAACAGAGTCTCTCACTTTTGTGCAGAAGATCATCTCTTAGGACAAACATTGTTGATTCTGTCCCCAAACCAGGCTTGAACTGAGAATGAAAAGCACCAAGATTACTGGCATCCTCCAAGAATGCCTGCAGTTACTCTCTCAAGCATCCTGCACAGAAAAAGTATTTGTGACATGGGGGGTGGGGGTGGTACTTGGCAAAATCCTCTGGTTCCAGGGAGATTTTTGAAAACAATGATAGTTTAATTGTATATGAAAAGATTTGATCAGTATTTTATAAAAATATTAGTAAAATGGTAAGAACTTTATTTTTGCATACACTGGAACTGATTTACTGAAACACAGAATGGCAAGAAAAAGTGCCAGGTATATTCATGTCTGTAATGCATGAGAGGTCAGGGTGTTTTTAGCAATGGAAAGCATATCTTGACATATGGCCTGAGGAAATGCTCAGATAAATCTTCAAAACAGCATCAGGGTGAGACAGGGCAACTTTTCAGCAGCTGAGGATTGCTGCTTGTTTTTTTTCAAAAACATCCACAGTTGGTATGCCACCAATATTCAATGGAGTGTTTCCCAGGTACTGCCCCCCTCCCAGTTCAGGATGGCATAGGGCCTGTAATCTGCCTACTGTTGCTGAAATCCTTGCCAACTGAAGCTAGCACTCCATGCATATGATGCCATTAACTACAGTTCATGGCAGGTCATATCATAGAAATCCTTTCCACCCTTAAAAGTGGAGCCTATCACAGTTTAACAGATTGCACATGGTTATCACTCTGGAAAGCCGTTCAACAGTGGACTGCATTCTTTCTATATACATGTTAGTATAAGTATCATATGACAAATCACACATGAATCAGTCCATAGTGATACCGGGAGCTTTGGCAAATGGGTACCACGGTGATCAAACTGATTAAACTCAGCACTGACTATCACTGAACTGCAGAAAATCCACTTGTCGTGACTACAAGGACCCTCCATTCAATTTCATGATGGAATTTTTGGCTGGAAAGCATTGTTTAAAGAGGAAAATGGTACACCATTCATACTGTTCTTAGATGCATGTAAAAACAAAAAGGCGCCCTTTCGTTCCTGATTATAGTGACACTCAGACAAGGCAAGAAGCATGGCTGAAAGGCGCCTTTATTTCTAGCCGGGTTACGGTACAAGAACACAGTGGAAGAAATCTGAAACAGAGTTTCTTTTCAAATCATGAGAATGGAGTCATTTCTAAGTGCCATTAGGAGAAAGGAAAGTCTATATATGAAGAAGCTGTTCAGTGCTTTAAGAAAACAAGGTGGTGAAACACTACATGCTCAATCTATTCCGTTAGCATTAATGGAAGGAGAGCACACCAGCTATAAGAGCTCATCATGAAAATGCAGTTAGTTATTTCAAGGACCTGTGCAATGAATTACATAGTCAGGGATGAGGGGATGTTTGGGGTCTGGGGGCACATTTGGGATTTTGAGCACTCCCTCAACATTGTTGCAATGGGGGAACATTACTTATTCACAAAATGGCTGCCACCTTCTTGGGACTACTACCTGAATTTGCTTAGCCTTCCTTCAACTATTGGGCTACATCTTCCCCAAAACTCTGCTACCTCCCACCATTTTTATTCTTTAATAATACCAATGGGGCCTCATAGGCAGTCATGGAGATAAAGACAATACCACGGTCCAATGCTTTGTTTTGCAGGATGTCAGTTCTCTACTGGTTTATAACAAAAATAATAGATAGGGCATGAAACCTAGCAGGCATGAAGGAATCTGTC